GAGGAGGGGAAAACATGTCCGGACGGAAACGTGGTCACGATAGCGGGTCATCACCTGACTTCAAGCGGCTCTATGGAGATTCAGTCGTCAACTTCATCGAGCGAGCCCTTTACTCCGGAAGCGCCGCAGCAGATTCGTCAACAAGCAACGCAGACCCGTGCCCAACGGACCAGGAGACCTCGCAAGAACTCACCCAACGCGGGCCCGGAGGAGCAGGAATTGGAAGTAATACTCAAAATGAAGGAGTCGTCGTACAGCAAATTTTGCGCGTCCCCAGAGACCAAGGAGTGGTTTCAGTGTATAGTGACAGTAAATTACTTACCACCTGGGGGTACGCCACCGTGTTAACGAAGATAACGTATACGCACGACAAAAAGTATTACGGCTACTTTACGTCCATGTCTCGCCTGCCCGTCGAGTTTCCCTACCTCTATATTACACCGGGCACTTTTAAATCGCTGCCTCCAGACACCAAAGCCCTTTCTTGCCGCGCAAAAATAACGCCTCACGGCATCCGCACTCCCTGGAAAACTGGATCTACCGTAGTACAGCCGGTCAATTCAGACATGTTGGTGTACGGGGTGAGTTCGGTGGGATTAAACTTGTACCTGGACACGGGCATGGCCAAGCCGGGCACGGGCACGACAGACAATCAAATGGTAACGACGGAACCGAGCGAGTTTCACACAAACGACCATCGCCTCTTGATCGAAAAGTACTGGGGCGTAAGCATGGACAGTAGCGGCACTTTAACAAAATCCGACACAATCCCCACGTGCATGGGGGTACCGCGGCACAACAACTGTTACGACTTTATTCATTGTGCCGACTTTGCACCCCGCACCAACAAGTTTATTAACACTTTCCCCTTCAAAAGTCACGTTGGCACTCCCATAATTAATTACGATTACACTTTTCAAAACGGCTGGCTGCGTACGTGCGCCCCAATGTGTGGGGATTCCAACACGTACATAGCTGCCCCTTCGACCGTAATGGGAAAACAACTTTCGACCCTGGACTCTACAATCAAGGACACCAGCGTGCAAAATTCCGTAATAATGCTACAGCGAGAGGATTTTGACAGCGAGTACGACAGGCCCATCGAGCGCGAACACAGCCACCAAGGTTTAATACACAATCCCCCCAATTGCAGCAAGGCGCAGCCTAGCGTGGGCTTTGGAATTTTGGCAGTAAGCAAAAAATCGATCGATTCTCCGGGCAGCAACGATAAATTTCAAGACGTGTCGGCATTTTTCCAGGTGGACACAGAACTGGTGCTTCACTCGAGCAACGATACAATATCGCCCATGCAAAAAATTAACAGCGCGTGCCACCAACACTTTACCAAAACTAAGGTAAACAAGTATATCCCAGCTAACCGACAAACACACTTGGGCCACTACACATATCACGAATCTGCCGGAACTGCCAAGTTACTCTCTGTACCATTCAAGCCATAATAAAGAAACTTTTTATTGTTTCTTGTACCCACATCGCCTGCATATCTCGTTATTCGTCAACCAATTGACTACTCTGTCCCATTCTTCGTCCATTGCTCGTACCATCCGCTGACAGTAATCATTTTCGCTTTCATCTTCTCTCCGAACAATGACCAGATGATCGTAATTGCCTCGAAGCACCTTGGCACAAATATCCCTTTCCTTAAGATTTTCTTCTTGTGTCTTCTGCGCTTTTACCCTCTCCTTATGCATGCGTGCTTCGACTTCCCTCTTTCCAAACTCGACGAGTTTATCGACGACCAATCGGAGAAAATCTTCCTTGAAATCCATGGAGCACTCTATTGCCCTGGACACGGGGGAATCCTCAATCTTCATGTCGTCGTCGTCGGTATCCTAAAAAAGATATATATATATATATATAACTCTTTTATACTTAGCTACGACAACTGCAACGACATCCATTTTTTTTTTTTTTAATTTTTTTTTTTTAATTTTTTTTTTAATTAATTAATTAATTAATTAATTAACTAATTACTAATTAATCAACTAATTAGTCATTAACAGGTAGACTCACCAATAAGATGCGCCGAATATTAGCCCCCAGTCCTCCGTCCTTCTCTCCACCACCAGCCTGGCCACTACTAGTGCTGCTGCTTGGTCCTGGCAGAGGGTCCATCCTTCCCGTCCGAGTCGTCGTAGTAGACTGAGGTTTAGTAGGGTTAGCTCGCTCATTATATAGGCAACTAGCAGAACTGGTTTTGGGCGTCGCCAAGGACGCTAACCGGTTTATCCAGGTCGCGAAGGCCAACCGCACGATATAAAAGGAGCTGCCTTCGGCTCGAAAATTCAGTCTTCGCCGAGGACTCGAAGGGACAAGACCTCCTGCCTGCCTGCCTGCCTGCCTGCCTGGAAGGACTGCCTGCCTGGACTGCCTGCCCCCCTTGGATGGTGAGCCTGCAAAAAACTTTGACTCTGCTCTATTGAGCATTTTTGAGACTAAGTTTTTAATTTAGGGACTTTGCCTCTCGAATGCTCTCTAGACTTTGCCAAATTTTTTTTTTTTTTCATAGATGGAGCGGGAAATGCCAGAGAAGAAGCGAGTCAGACTTGAGGAGAATGACGATGAGGTACCGCTACACGTATTATTGGAATATATGTTTGACGGGGAAATGTCCGTTACTAGGGAGGAGATGGACAAAGCAGTGGAGAAGATGAGTCACGATGTGCCGCTTCCCCTATACAAGAGTTGGACGAAACTGAAGAAATTGATCGACGCGTGGACATTTTACCAGGAGAAATTTTGTCCGAACCAAGAACATTGGCAACGCGAGAATGCGACCATCACGAGTCCCCTCCACTATTGCCCCGATGGGCAGAAGAGTTACGACGCGTTCCAAAACGAAGAAGAATTGTGCATGATGTCATTACCGTTGGATCATATGGAGAAGCTCAGGAGTCTTATTTTACTTTGTCTAAGCGCCTTGAAGAACCCAGAGCAGGATATGCCTTTGCCGCCATCTCCTTCCACATCTCGGGATGTAGACGGCCGCACTTGCACGTCGTCCACGATTGCTCGTGGAGCAACGGAACGTGTAGATGTGTCGCCTTTGCAGGGTTCCGCAGAAGACCAAATCGCTCTTCGGTTTGGTCTTGTAACACCGATGGATGGGACTATTTCCGCCTCGTCGACTATCTTAATAAAGAGCCCCGCCGGTTGGAGTACCTTAAGGTGGCAGGAACCAGTTGGCTCGAATACATTGGAGCTGAGGTATTGGAACTCCCAAGACATTGCAGATGTGGAACCGCAGGAGCAGTGGAGGTATTATTTGGAGCATTTCAAGGTCCAAGTGCATGCGACGACTGCACCCGAAGTGTTGGAGGCCATCCGAACACTTCGCAAGTATACGCAACGGAAACTACTCCACGTGAAACCAGAAGATGTGAGAAAGCACACCATACAGAGGAGTCACTCTTTCTCATCCTCTCCCAGAACCCGGTCTCGCCGCTGACGAACATTACTCGAACTCCAATGTGGTTAGAACGTGCGGACTTGCGATTCATACGCCTAGATGACAAGCGCCTGCAACGTGCCATTCAAGTTTTGAATGAACAATTGTGTAACTGGACCACTTTGGACTATATATCTCTGTATCAAAAGACTAACCCTCTGTTTGACGCACCACATGGCAACATTAGCCAATATTATATGGATGTGCCGTCTTCGTTTGCAGCCATTGTAGAGCTGTTGGAATATCAATTGGGACCCGAAGTTCCAGACTTTGTAACCAACTTGTATAACCTACTCGAAAGGCGCGTACCCAAGAAGAATTGCATGGAGATTGTATCCCCTCCAAGTGCTGGAAAAAACTTTTTCTTTGATGCCGTTGTCAGTTTTTATATAAACAGGGGCACTATACACAACTTTAACAAGTATTCTAGTTTTCCATTGCAAGATGCCGTGGGCAAGCGCATTTTGATTTGGAACGAACCAAATTGCGAATCGAGCGCATTTGAAACAATAAAGAAAATTTTTGGGGGTGATGTAGACAGTGTAGCGGTAAAGTATTCGAGCGACATGACTGTAACACGCACTCCCGTGATTGTTTTGAGTAACCACGAGACTTTTCCGCGCATTCCAGCGTTTAACCACAGGATGTTTAGGTACAGGTGGAAAACTTGTCCAGAATTGCTAAAGTATGACAAGAAGGTTAATCCACTTGCATTGATTAATTTATTTGATGCCTACCTCGACGATCACGAGTATACTGCCACGCGCCGTGTTCAATAAAGTGCTTTTTTTATCTAGCCAACACGGTCTTGCTGTCTGGTTCTTCAACTGCTACGACGACATGTGTTGTGATGTGTTGTGTTGTGTTGTGTTGTGTTGTGTTAGGTTAGGTTAGGTTAGGTTGGGTTGGGTTAGGTTAGGTTAGGTTAGGTTAGGTTGGGTTGGGTTGGGTTGGGTTGGGTTGGGTTGGGTTAGGTTAGGTTAGGTTAGGTTGGGTTAGGTTGGGTTAGGTTAGGTTAGGTTAGGTTGGGTTAGGTTGGGTTGGGTTAGGTTAGGTTAGGTTAGGTTAGGTTGGGTTGGGTTGGGTTGGGTTAGGTTAGGTTAGGTTGGTTAGGTTAGGTTGGTTAGGTTAGGTTAGGTTAGGTTGGTTAGGTTAGGTTAGGTTAGGTTGGGTTGGGTTGGGTTGGGTTGGGTTAGGTTGGGTTGGGTTGGGTTAGGTTGGGTTAGGTTAGGTTAGGTTAGGTTAGGTTAGGTTAGGTTGGGTTGGGTTAGGTTGGGTTGGGTTGGGTTGGGTTAGGTTGGGTTGGGTTAGGTTAGGTTAGGTTAGGTTGGGTTAGGTTGGGTTGGGTTGGGTTGGGTTGGGTTGGGTTAGGTTAGGTTAGGTTAGGTTAGGTTGGGTTGGGTTGGGTTGGGTTGGGTTGGGTTGGGTTGGGTTAGGTTAGGTTGGGTTGGGTTGGGTTGGGTTGGGTTGGGTTAGGTTAGGTTAGGTTAGGTTGGGTTGGGTTGGGTTAGGTTGGGTTGGGTTGGGTTAGGTTAGGTTAGGTTAGGTTGGGTTGGGTTGGGTTAGGTTGGGTTGGGTTAGGTTGGGTTAGGTTGGGTTAGGTTAGGTTAGGTTAGGTTAGGTTGGGTTGGGTTGGGTTGGGTTGGGTTGGGTTAGGTTGGGTTGGGTTGGGTTGGGTTAGGTTAGGTTAGGTTAAGTTGGGTTAGGTTGGGTTGGGTTAGGTTGGGTTAGGTTGGGTTGGGTTAGGTTGGGTTAGGTTGGGTTGGGTTGGGTTGGGTTGGGTTGGGTTGGGTTAGGTTAGGTTAGGTTAGGTTAGGTTGGGTTGGGTTGGGTTAGGTTGGGTTGGGTTGGGTTGGGTTGGGTTGGGTTAGGTTAGGTTAGGTTAGGTTAGGCTTTTAATGGCGTCGTTGTTGTAGACGCCGTTCATAAGACCGCATGTTTATTTCAATCAGGCATGCCTCTCTTTCCAGGTCATCGCTACTTGGGACCCGGGAACCCCTTAGACAACGGACAACCTGTGGACAGAGACGATTGGATAGCCCGGCAACACGATCACGACTATTCCAAGGCAACTAGCGACCAAGACATCTTTACAGCCGATCACAAGGCCATCGGCGACTTTGTAAGTGATTGGAGCGACCGGGGTTCGTGGCACTCTCTCGTTGGTGCAGCTGGGCTCGGTTTTAAAAACCTAGTAGAGGAAAAGGCTCTCGGCCGTACACTCTATGGAGGAGGGGAAAACATGTCCGGACGGAAACGTGGTCACGATAGCGGGTCATCACCTGACTTCAAGCGGCTCTATGGAGATTCAGTCGTCAACTTCATCGAGCGAGCCCTTTACTCCGGAAGCGGAGCCGCAGCAGCAGATTCGTCAACAACCAACGCAGACCCGTGCCCAACGGACCAGGAGACCTCGCAAGAACTCACCCAACGCGGGCCCGGAGGAGCAGGAATTGGAAGTAATACTCAAAATGAAGGAGTCGTCGTACAGCAAATTTTGCGCGTCCCCAGAGACCAAGGAGTGGTTTCAGTGTATAGTGACAGTAAATTACTTACCACCTGGGGGTACGCCACCGTGTTAACGAAGATAACGTACACGCACGACAAAAAGTATTACGGCTACTTTACGTCCATGTCTCGCCTGCCCGTCGAGTTTCCCTACCTCTATATTACACCGGGCACTTTTAAATCGCTGCCTCCAGACACCAAAGCCCTTTCTTGCCGCGCAAAAATAACGCCTCACGGCATCCGCACTCCCTGGAAAACTGGATCTACCGTAGTACAGCCGGTCAATTCAGACATGTTGGTGTACGGGGTGAGTTCGGTGGGATTAAACTTGTACCTGGACACGGGCATGGCCAAGCCGGGCACGGGCACGACAGACAATCAAATGGTAACGACGGAACCGAGCGAGTTTCACACAAACGACCATCGCCTCTTGATCGATAAGTACTGGGGCGTAAGCATGGACAGTAGCGGCACTTTAACAAAATCCGACACAATCCCCACGTGCATGGGGGTACCACGGCACAACAACTGTTACGACTTTATTCATTGTGCCGACTTTGCACCCCGCACCAACAAGTTTATTAACACTTTCCCCTTCAAAAGTCACGTTGGCACTCCCATAATTAATTACGATTACACTTTTCAAAACGGCTGGCTGCGTACGTGCGCCCCAATGTGTGGGGATTCCAACACGTACATAGCCGCCCCTTCGACCGTAATGGGAAAACAACTTTCGACCCTGGACTCTACAATCAAGGACACCAGCGTGCAAAATTCCGTAATAATGCTACAGCGAGAGGATTTTGACAGCGAGTACGACAGGCCCATCGAGCGCGAACACAGCCACCAGGGTTTAATACACAATCCCCCCAATTGCAGCAAGGCGCAGCCTAGCGTGGGCTTTGGAATTTTGGCAGTAAGCAAAAAATCGATCGATTCTCCGGGCAGCAACGATAAATTTCAAGACGTGTCGGCATTTTTCCAGGTGGACACAGAACTGGTGCTTCACTCGAGCAACGATACAATATCGCCCATGCAAAAAATTAACAGCGCGTGCCACCAACACTTTACCAAAACTAAGGTAAACAAGTATATCCCAGCTAACCGACAAACACACTTGGGCCACTACACATATCACGAATCTGCCGGAACTGCCAAGTTACTCTCTGTACCATTCAAGCCATAATAAAGAAACTTTTTATTGTTTCTTGTACCCACATCGCCTGCATATCTCGTTATTCGTCAACCAATTGACTACTCTGTCCCATTCTTCGTCCATTGCTCGTACCATCCGCTGACAGTAATCATTTTCGCTTTCATCTTCTCTCCGAACAATGACCAGATGATCGTAATTGCCTCGAAGCACCTTGGCACAAATATCCCTTTCCTTAAGATATTCTTCTTGTGTCTTCTGCGCTTTTACCCTCTCCTTATGCATGCGTGCTTCCACTTCCCTCTTTCCAAACTCGACGAGTTTATCGACGACCAATCGCAGAAAATCCTCCTTGAAATCCATGGAGCACTCGATTGCCCTGGACACGGGGGAATCCTCAATCTTCATGTCGTCGTCGTCGTCGTCGGTATCCTAAAGAAGATATATATATATATATATAACTCTTTTATACTTAGCTACGACAACTGCAACGACATCCAATTTTTTTTTTTTCTTTTTTTAATTTTTTTTTTTTTATTTTTTTTTTATTTTTTTTTTTTAATTTTTTTTTTAATTTTTTTTTTAAATTAATTAATTAATTAATTAACTAATTACTAATTAATCAACTAATTAGTCATTAACAGATAGACAACTCACCAATAAGATGCGCCGAATATTAGCCCCCAGTCCTCCGTCCTTCTCTCCACCAGCCTGGCCACTACTAGTGCTGCTTGGTCCTGGCAGAGGGTCCATCCTTCCCGTCCGAGTCGTCGTAGTAGACTGAGGTTTAGTAGGGTTAGCTCGCTCATTATATAGGCAACTAGCAGAACTGGTTTTGGGCGTCGCCAAGGACGCTAACCGGTTTATCCAGGTCGCGAAGGCCAACCGCACGATATAAAAGGAGCTGCCTTCGGCTCGAAAATTCAGTCTTCGCCGAGGACTCGAAGGGACAAGACCTCCTGCCTGCCTGCCTGCCTGGAAGGACTGCCTGCTGCCTGGACTGCCTGCCCCCTTGGATGGTGAGCCTGCAAAAACTTTGACTCTGCTCTATTGAGCATTTTTGAGACTAAGTTTTTAATTTAGGGACTTTGCCTCTCGAATGCTCTGTAGACTTTGCCAAATTTTTTTTTTTTCATAGATGGAGCGGGAAATGCCAGAGAAGAAGCGAGTCAGACTTGAGGAGAATGACGATGAGGTACCGCTACACGTATTATTGGAATATATGTTTGACGGGGAAATGTCCGTTACTAGGGAGGAGATGGACAAAGCAGTGGAGAAGATGAGTCACGATGTGCCGCTTCCCCTATACAAGAGTTGGACGAAACTGAAGAAATTGATCGACGCGTGGACATTTTACCAGGAGAAATTTTGTCCGAACCAAGAACATTGGCAACGCGAGAATGCGACCATCACGAGTCCCCTCCACTATTGCCCCGATGGGCAGAAGAGTTACGACGCGTTCCAAAACGAAGAAGAATTGTGCATGATGTCATTACCGTTGGATCATATGGAGAAGCTCAGGAGTCTTATTTTACTTTGTCTAAGCGCCTTGAAGAACCCAGAGCAGGATATGCCTTTGCCGCCATCTCCTTCCACATCTCGGGATGTAGACGGCCGCACTTGCACGTCGTCCACGATTGCTCGTGGAGCAACGGAACGTGTAGATGTGTCGCCTTTGCAGGGTTCCGCAGAAGACCAAATCGCTCTTCGGTTTGGTCTTGTAACACCGATGGATGGGACTATTTCCGCCTCGTCGACTATCTTAATAAAGAGCCCCGCCGGTTGGAGTACCTTAAGGTGGCAGGAACCAGTTGGCTCGAATACATTGGAGCTGAGGTATTGGAACTCCCAAGACATTGCAGATGTGGAACCGCAGGAGCAGTGGAGGTATTATTTGGAGCATTTCAAGGTCCAAGTGCATGCGACGACTGCACCCGAAGTGTTGGAGGCCATCCGAACACTTCGCAAGTATACGCAACGGAAACTACTCCACGTGAAACCAGAAGATGTGAGAAAGCACACCATACAGAGGAGTCACTCTTTCTCATCCTCTCCCAGAACCCGGTCTCGCCGCTGACGAACATTACTCGAACTCCAATGTGGTTAGAACGTGCGGACTTGCGATTCATACGCCTAGATGACAAGCGCCTGCAACGTGCCATTCAAGTTTTGAATGAACAATTGTGTAACTGGACCACTTTGGACTATATATCTCTGTATCAAAAGACTAACCCTCTGTTTGACGCACCACATGGCAACATTAGCCAATATTATATGGATGTGCCGTCTTCGTTTGCAGCCATTGTAGAGCTGTTGGAATATCAATTGGGACCCGAAGTTCCAGACTTTGTAACCAACTTGTATAACCTACTCGAAAGGCGCGTACCCAAGAAGAATTGCATGGAGATTGTATCCCCTCCAAGTGCTGGAAAAAACTTTTTCTTTGATGCCGTTGTCAGTTTTTATATAAACAGGGGCACTATACACAACTTTAACAAGTATTCTAGTTTTCCATTGCAAGATGCCGTGGGCAAGCGCATTTTGATTTGGAACGAACCAAATTGCGAATCGAGCGCATTTGAAACAATAAAGAAAATTTTTGGGGGTGATGTAGACAGTGTAGCGGTAAAGTATTCGAGCGACATGACTGTAACACGCACTCCCGTGATTGTTTTGAGTAACCACGAGACTTTTCCGCGCATTCCAGCGTTTAACCACAGGATGTTTAGGTACAGGTGGAAAACTTGTCCAGAATTGCTAAAGTATGACAAGAAGGTTAATCCACTTGCATTGATTAATTTATTTGATGCCTACCTCGACGATCACGAGTATACTGCCACGCGCCGTGTTCAATAAAGTGCTTTTTTTAT